AAAGCCTGATTTTTGATATGATTTGTGGTGTTTTCTCTCCACTTGTAGTTTTCCATATTTTCTTTTTTTGTAAATGGTCAAGATAACAATTTCTATATTTTCCACTTATAACTTTGTGAAATATATGTTTTATGCCCTTCTCTGGTGAATATTCTCGGGTATGATAAGGAGTCATGGCCAGGAAGGCCAATTTTCTATAGTTCTCTAACATCACATCTCTTTATAAAGTTTTCTGAGCAGGCTGAAGGCATTCACTCTCCTCTTCAGTAAAATCAATGGCTACATCCCTGAATGTTAACAGTTTCATTATGAAAGTTGGTGCTTTTAAAAAGCAAATGAGCCAGGTCTTGTGATGGACAACTGTATTCCAGTGACTGAGGAGGATGAGGCAGGAGGATCATAAATTCCAAGACAGTCTGAGTAACTTAGTAAGGCACTTAGCAACTCAGCAAGATTCTGTGTCATTGCCTGGAGCTTAGGAGTTGGGCCTGCTTGGGATCTTCAGCTTCTGCACAGCAGAGCAACTTGAAACTCTGAAGCATGAGACCAAAGTCCAGCCAAATGGGAAAAACAGAGAACTCAGGAGATAAGGAGTAATAGTGAAAGCCCACCCTCCTCCTTCATGATGACATATAGGATTGGACAGTTCTCACTAAATGCTCTTGATTGGAAAGGACTTTAGAATATGCGCATTGAATCTGAGACCAGTGAGTCTTCTTTTTGGGTGACAGGGAATATCATCCAATCCAGGCATGAATAGGGCTAGAATTTCAGGTTGTTGAGTGCTATTTTTTTTCTTTTCTTAGATCTGGGAAATGTACCCCAAATTTTAAGGCAATGTTTTCTTCCATAAGTGGGATCTAGTGAAAAACCAGCCTCTACCTCAGAGCAAAGCTGTATAGATGTCTTTTCAATTTAATGTTTCATTTTTTACTTTTGTTTAAAACTACTAAAATATTATATATGGAAATAATGGGGACCTTCCCTAAGATTATCATATTTGAGGGTTGATAAGTCTCTTTATACAAAGTTGAATTTATTTTTCTTATTACCAATTCAGGATTAATATACAAAAACTTATTTAATGTCTTGGGATATACTCCTCCAGACCATTTAGTATACACCTACACAGATGTATTTTTAAGGTAATCATAACATATTTACTTTTTTATGGTATTTTTCACATAAAACATTATCTTACAGGGCTGGGGGTCTAGTTCAGTGATAGAGCACTTACCTAGCAAGTGTGAGGCCCTGGGTTTAATTCCTAGCACAGCAAAAAAAAAGTATGTTTAAATATATTTTTAAAGAGCTACATAACATCCCTGAGGATGGCTATACCATTATTTATTTAGTGGAGTAAGTAAAGGAGATAAATATCAATATTTTGCTGTTTATAACTATATTCCATGTTGTGATATATTTTTATAGCTATGTCTTTTTAAAATTTGTTTTATTTGTTCTTTTTAGATATACATGATAATAGAGTGCATTTTGGCATATTATGCATACATGAATTATAATTTATTGTAATTAGGATCCCATTCTTGTGGTTGTACAAGATATTGTATATATTATTAATTGTTTCTCTTTTTTTTGAGAGAGTGAGAGAGGGGGGAGAGAGAGAGAGAGAGAGAGAGAGAGAGAGAGAGAGATAAGATTTTTTTTAATTTTTTTTAGATTTCGGTAGACACAACATCTTTGTTTGTATGTGGTGCCGAGGCTCGAACCCAGGTCGCACGCATGCCAGGTAAACGCCCTACTGCTTGAGCCACATCCCCAGCCCAGCTATCCATTCTTATGGCTCAATATCTGAGGAATAGACAAGGGCTCTTCAGGGCTGTTCTTCTGGGCAACTCACTTCCTTTGCAACTTTTAAAAGGTACCTGGGAGGTGGTGGTAAGGTGGAAGGTATCTACCTACCTATCCCTAAGGTTAAGAACGGGAGTATCCATCTGTGATCCACTCATGCAAACTCAAAATGACTGTAGAGGCTGAGCCACCTGATTCTGCATAATTAATGAGTCCCAGGTGCTTAACATCTTCCCTGGCAAAAGGAAGGACCAGTATCAGCCTTTTACAGTGCCTTAGTGCAAATCAGGAAAAGACACTCCTCCTGACAAGTGCAGCTGCCCAGATGCATGGCTCAACCAACACATTGTGTTGCTTTCTCTACTTTCCCATAGCAAGCATACCAACATGGAGGTAGGCCCCATCAGGTGTGC